ACATGAACCTGCAAGAACATCTGGGAGGTCGTTGACGTAGATCAGAAACATCACTGATCCCAGGATGGAGCCTTGAGGAACTCCAATGGAGGCCGGCGCTGGAGAAGAGTAGGTTGAGCCTATTCTCACTCGGAGTGATCTGTCTGATAGGAACGCCTTGATCCAGCGAAGGATTTTCCCTCGAATCCCGTAAGACCCGAGTTAGTAGAGCAGCGGGACGTGTGGGACCCTATCAAATGCTTTTGAGAAGTCGCAAAATATGGCATTCGTCCTTGGCTTGGGTTAAGTTGTCCATAAACACGAGCATGTTTGTCGCGCAAGGGCGGTTTGGAAGAAATCGGTGTTGAGCTGAAGATATCAAGTTGTTTTATGTAAGTTGATCTAAGATAGCTTGCTTCAGAATGCATTCCATCACCTTGCACGGCACGCTAGTGAGGCTAATGGGCCTATAGCTGCCAGGAGACAGTCAGTCACCAGTCTAATAGGTCTATTTGACAGTCGCTTCCTTCCACGCAGAGGGAAGACAGACTTTGTCAAGCGACTGACGAAACACCAGGTGTAGATGATTTGCCAGTGTGGGTGATGTTTCCTTCTTGATCCTTGTAGGCCCCAACGCGCAGAATGGGTTGACCTCGTGCAATATTTGACGAATGTTCTCCACCCTGAAGACCAAGTCGGTTAGAGGCTGTTAGTATTTCCGCCTTGACAAGGGTGGATGTGACAAGGACGCTGGGACTGAATATAGATCTGCATAGTGTTCTCTGTGAACCTCAGATACCAGTGTTGTGTCACTCGTCGGTTCACCGTATTTTCCCTCAAGGAGAACGTGGATGGCTTGTTTCTGCGGCGTCTTCTCATGTATTTGAACAACAGGTTTTTGTTTTATCGAGCGCGGTCCAGAATGGTGGCTTGTTTTCGTATGTTCCATTGGCGGATTTTCGATTTACAGCGGTTCCACATTTTACGAAACGCCAGCTCATCTTCTGTATCCATTGTAATCAACTATTTGAAAAAGAGTTGTGACTATTTTCCAGAAGTCGCCGAATCCTTTTTGGCGGCCTGTGGTTCATCCGAGACGAACGTCACGTCAGCCTCGTGGACTTTCTGGACAATGGTGCTATATAGTTCTTCCACCGGAGCTGGTCCCAGTGTGACTTATTCAAGGAAGGTGCGAATTCCTGAGAAGTCTGCTCGGCAGAAGTCTGAAAACGACGTTTGAGGTTTGAGATTTCGGGCCCATTAGCAGATGAAATCAAAGGTCAGCACACAGTGGCCGCTATGTCACAGTGGAGCGTCAATTGTTATCTGATCAACGAAGTGTCTTTCGTTGGAGATGACCGAATCCATGAGGGATGGNCCAGTTCCTGTCAGTCTTCAATATATCATCTACTGCCCCACGTCTGTCTGCTCCTATTGACTACTGGCTACGAACTGCGTATAATCTAATAGTCGCAATCGTCCTGTGAGATCCTTAACCGTCCGGATCTTACATCACCTATCAGCGGGAGATGAGTGGAGTGGTAATGTTTGTATGTCTAATTAGTCATCTTCAGGGGAACTCCAGGGGCTACGGTAGACCACACCGAGAAGGAGAGAATCGGGCCCGCACAGCGGGATTTGGACCCACAGTGCATCGCAAAAGGGTGCGGGGGTTGTCAGAGAGGACGATCGGGATTGGTAGGGCCGCACGTAAGTACAGAGCAACCCCACTTGCCCGCCCTCGTTTTGAATCGGCTCAAAAAATAGAGTGACCGTCTATCGAGATCTCCGCGTCAGAGACATCTGTTGTGAGCCAAGTCTCTGTGAATGCGATTATGAACGGTTGTTCAAGACAAGCTGACTGTTTAACATCGCCGAGTTTGTTGAAAAGGCTGAGGCGGTTTGTGGACAAGCATTTCAACACTGTCTCCGCTGCCTCCGAGGGTCGGGAGCCGAAAGTTGAGTGACCAGGGTGGCCAGAAGACTCAATAGTTGTGCGCCGGGGTTGAGTCCAAGGCTCCGAAGGGGCCTCTGGGGAGATGTCTTCTGCTTCCTGTCTTCGTGGTTTCTGGGGGTGCTTTTCGTTTGCGAGGTTTTTTCTTTCCGCGGGAGCCCGGCTTGCTCGGGCCTATTGGCTTTGGGGGACGAAGTCTTTTTCCCCGTGGGCAAAAATTTCGACCGTTGCTGTTTGTAGCTCTTCCAGCACCCCCATTTGGCGACCGGATTTGCTGTTGATCGAAGAGTTGCGGCAAGCTTTCGCCTTCCTGGATTCTTGGGTGTTTTGGCGCGGTTTGACCGGAAAAGTGTCTCTGTGAGGGCCTGAGCGCTGGGTGGTGGCACCAAGAAGTAATGATTTTGGTGGCGCTCTTAAGAGGCTCGTTTGCACGGAGGACTGCACCTTAGAGCCAGCAGTTTTCTAATCTGGCGAGTTTTATGTGGCTTGTTTGGCTCCAGTCGCTTTCTTTCATGTTTATGTGAACACCCGATCCGCCTGCGGTCAGCGTGGCCAACTGGATGTACGAGGGATTTTCCGGATGGCTGTAGTAGTGTTTGTGGCTTTGGTTGTCGAAGGCCTGGGCGACTTTTGTGTCGACAAACAGAAAAACCACTTTCCACGGAGTGGAGCTGAAGATTGGCTTTGCCGCTTGCCCCCGCCCATCCGACTCAGTCCAGTTCAGAGACCGTGGCCTTGTTAATGAGTGCATGGCTGC